CACTCCAAACTACTAAGAAATGCTTCTCAGGGGTTAAAAGTTTAGGCAGAGGCAGAGGAGTGCAGTTCTGAGTAAGTATTGAGAAAGTGATGACAACCAAAGTGACTCAAGTGCCTTTTGAACTCAGTTCTCAGCTAAGGAGTCCCTACATTTCTATGTAAATAGAAAGAAGGTAGAGACTTTTTGGACATGGTAAAGGTTGCTTTTTGGTGATGGTGCAGGTAGGTGCATGATAGCAGGCCTGCCTTTTGACAGCCACAGCCCAGACATTATTCCCATTCAGCTTGGCTGGTCTGAGGATAGGAAAAGTGATAAAGAGCACCAGAGTGATCATCAACCAAAGGAAAAATCACCTATTTCATGGCACCCACAGTGGCAGCTTACCCTACTCTTGGTCTGAACTGAGCTGGAACTGCAATAGGATATCCTAAGTTGGAAGGGACCCATAAGGATCATTGAATCCAACTCCTGGCTCCTCATGGCACCACCCAAAAATCGGACAATGTGGCTTAGAGTGCTGTCCAGATGTTTCTTGAACTCAGTACCGTGACTGCTGCCCTGGGAGCCTGGATGTTTAATGCATTCACAGGACAGAGTGGGTAGTTTCTGGTTTTCTGGAGCACCAGCACATTGTATCTGGGTTCGGAGTCACAGAAAGGCAGCCTGCACTTCCACCTGCAACTGGGTTAGTGAGGAAAGTGGTGAAAACAGGATGCACCCTCAAAGAAACCCCAAACAAGCAGGTCATAAACATGTCAAAAATTGACATCTAACTCACAAACAAGTCTGATCATTTTAATTACTCTGTGCTCACGGCAGAGGCCAGAAGCAGACACATGATGTATGGGAAGCTCCACGGGAACATGGCACAGCTGCTGGCCAGAGGACACCTATAGCACCAAGAGCCAATTCTGGCCACAGCCTCCCATAAAAAGGCCAAGCAGAGCACAGGGGAAAATCAGTATTTTTTTTCCAGAGGGGTGTGTGTATTTCAGTTCAGATTCAGTGTGAGCACAGTACAGTTTTGGCTGTGAAAAATGAAACTTTGAGGTCAGCCCCAGAAGAGGGTGTAACCCCAAGCTATGGCCTATTTCTGCAAAATCTTTCCAGCACTGATGAGCGTATGAAGCCGAGCACATCTCTGTCGCTAGTATGTGGGATAAACTGGGAGTTAAAAGCTCTCTACCAAGTTGTGTCTTAAATTAAACACCTTGGAGTTAGAAAGAAGACATAAGGAATGCTAGTGGTCTTTGTTTCCCACATATGTTAAACAAACAAAAATTCTGCAATTCAAGTTCTTTTAGCAGGAGTGAAAGCAGCATGTTTGCGAGGAAAGCAGTGGTTCTCAATTTCATAATGATATGAGCTGAAGGGAAATTACAGGATTTGCTTTGAGGCTCATTATGTGTGGACAGCACTAAGCATGGGTATGTATGCGATTGGACAGAAATGTGGCAAGATGTGTAATGTTCAAGCCATTATGGCCCAGTTCCCACTGTGGTGGACAAAAATGTCATGTTTGCAATGACAATAAATGGGGCATGGTAGGAAAAAAATAACCAGCAGGATTAACAACAGCCCATGCTCTGGTCTCTGAGATTTAAGATTTAATTTTTTTCCCTGGTCCTGTTTGCTTCTCTGAGGGTTTTCATCTCCCAGCTGCAAACCAGCTGAGCACTTTGCCTGATTTTAACACACTTCCTGTATGGTTGGAAATCCCTGTCCTTGCCCTCTTCCTTCTAGTGATGGAAGAACACTGAGGCAGGTTTTGCTGCTGAGCAGAAGGCATTAGCAGCACGTGGTGCTTTCCTGTGGCAACACTTGGCCCTAAGGCAACGATAATGGCAGTGTTGAAGGATGGTACCAATGACAGCTGAATTCAGCCCAGAGTCTGTCCCAGTTGTTGCTGTTCTCTTAATTACTGGCTAGTAATTAGAGCTGGGCCTCAATGGCATTGAGGAAATTTTGCTGGGGATGAGTGAAACCAGTATCAGCCGTACAGCAGTTCAGCAAAGATCGTGGTGTTGGGGGGTCCTAAAGAGAAGGGAACATAAATGTGATTTCTATGCCGATGTGCACGATGTGCAGGTTCATGCATTTATCTACCACTTATCCCTTCTTTCCTCATGAGAATTTCTATGTGCCCTCACACAAGGTGTGCCACCAGCAAAGGGATCCTGCTGTTACCTGCAGTCCTGCCCTATGCTTCCCTGGTTTCACAAAGTGACTCTGCACCCTCCTGCACACACCAAGCCGCCTTGATGCGTTCAGACACATCCTCTGGACCCACTCAGATGCCACTGGCAAGTGGCACTATATCACTGAGTGTCCGTGGCCAAGGGCCAACTCAGAGTGAGAAGAATGGGACCCGGCTGCTCACTCGCTGGGCACACTGGTGGCTCCCAGGGTGACCCTGTTCTTGTTTGGGGATTTTTTTTTCACGATGATTGTTTTGTTCATTGGGATGTGACCATGCTGGCAGCAGCCCCTGCTTTTCTTGATGCATCTCAGCTGGAAATAGTGATAAAAGAGTCATCTCCCCTTTGTTATTGAAGGAGCTTACCAGAAAAGTCAACAGCAAAAAAAAAAAAAACAAAACAATAAAAAATTAAAAAAAAACCAAACAACAAAAAACCCATGTGTGTTTGAGCCACCTAAACCATGCAAACCACAGAGAGAACAGCCGCTCACAGGTTTGATTGGGCCTGGGTCCAGGAGCACACACCCAACGCAACCTACAAAGCCTGGGGCTCAGCGTGGCTGCGCAGAGCAGGGCGTGCAGCGGTGCGGCCGACCTCCCCGCAGCGACCACCGGTGAGTGCCCTACTTTCAGCCAACTCGCTTTCCTCAGCGGACAGGAATCTGTGTTACAAACAGGCTCTTTAATTTGGAAAAGCAGCCACTGACCTCACGAAGTTAGGATGGATCTTTTCTATTGCAACAAAGATGAGTAGGAGATAACGCAGGTATTTTGCAGTGCTCCCAGAGTGACTACAACCAACCGGCTCTGGCAGCAGATGCCAGAGCAACATTTTGGAAACAAGGCCTTGAGAAGGCATCTTGCTCCCTGCACTCACCAATGCACACTGAGCTCTTAGAGCTTATTTCTTGAGGTCTGGCCTGGTCATGGGTAGTTTTGGTGAAATCTCCCAATTCTGCAAGGAGATCTGGATGTGTTGAGGAACTCTGAAGCCTGCAGCAAGTAGGAGGTCACTGCAGGAGAAAATCAAGTGCTCGCTGTAGCATCTGAATGGCCATTATGCTCCAAACCAAATGACTGCTACTATTAATATAACCTCTGGCAAGCACAGCGGCAAAACCCCAGTGAGAGGCCACTGCTGTGGTTAGCACAGTGCTGCTTCTGCCTTGAAGCTGACTTCGCAACGCTTTGCTTCTCAGACAGTACAAACCCAGCTTGATTTCCAACTGCCTCTGCATTTACTGTGATGTGAGTGAGCCTGTGTGCTGCAACACGGCTGGAGCCAGGTGGGGACGGGAACGGGATGGGGATGGGGGCTTTGCCATGTGCGACAGGGATGAGAACATTTTTCTCCAGTTAACGCGGCCCTGCCCATCATCGTTTGCATGTACAAAGCTACAGCTGGTCTTTATTGCTATGTCTTAATATTTAAATGTACGTGTTACACAGATGCATTTCTTTCCAGCCTGTTTTTGCTGGTGTGAATTCTGAGCCACGCAGCTGCGTTGTTATGCTTTGGCCACATACTTTTGATGGCAGGCTGCTTTGGATAGACGGCAAACAGCATATAGCTTGAGCTCTGCACTTCAAAAATTGTGCGTCAGTGCATGGATGACACTGTTCCAAATTGATATCTGTAATTGATCCTCCAGGGGCCAACAGAATCCTCCATGTAGAAAACTCAAGAAACTATGAGCACACGCTTGTGGCTATTTTTATTTCTTCAATCTCCTCTCAGTACTCTGTTCTTTCATTGAAAAGAGCTTGTGCTGCAAATCTCATTCCATATTCACTGAAGTTACTGCATGGAGACAGAAATAAAAGGCTTGGTCCCCAGTTTGTGCTTTCAATATCCAGTAACAACCACTTTATATTTTAGACTAAATTCCAGAACCTCACAAATGTTTGCTGCAAACATCCTATGCCGGGCAGTGCGCAGCCAACATGAGTGCAAGATGCAGAGGTGACCTGCTTGCTGCATCAGCTCCTACGCCGGTTATCACTGGGGACGGTACTTTTGGCTGGTGCATGGGAGAAACCTAAGAGAAAGCATCTGAATGTGGGCTGTTCTCCCAAGGAAAGGCTGAGCTCAGTGGTGGCTGTGTGACCTGGCTCATCTGACTTTTGTGACGGCTCCTGTACAAAGCAATCTGCAGTAAAAAACAGTCCTTCTAGTGTCTGGGGGCATAACAAGCTGCTGCGAGGGGCCCAGCGAAGAGCATGGCAGTCAACAGATAGGAGATGCTGCAGGCAGAGTGCAGGGGATGCAAATAGTTTAGTGCTGCAAGCCATCCTTATAAGGCAGGTACTTTTCCTTGCTAGTTGCTAGACAATTCGTGAGAGACGTTAAACATTCTCATGAAGTTATGGCGCATTGAGATGGCTTTCTTTTTTGATGTGCGCACTGGGGACTGTACGTCTTATTAAAAATGAAATCACACTGACCCTAGTAAGTCAAAGGGTGTAATCGGCACAGCAGCAGAGAGAAGCTGAGGCCCTAATTTACCCTTAGTTTTTCCTGCATTAAGGATCTTTTCTGCCCATCTTTTAGCAAAATGGAAACATCTCAGAGACATTGGTTTCTGCTTGGTTTGCCCATCTACCAGCCAGACACATCTAAGAGGGTTAAAAAGCTTCAGTTCAGAAAGCTAGCTGAGAATCCTACTGAGGTTTATATTAAAATAAAATAATTGAAGAACAGAGTCACAGTCCTATTTCAGAGATATTTCAAATTGTTTTGCTCCCATCTTTTCTCTCCAGAGTGCAGTATCTCCTTCAAGACAAGGAAAAAATTGAGTAGATGGCACTTGCAAGCACAGTGAGTACACACAAATGTTGCTATATAATCTCATTTTTTCCTTCCCCCAACATCAGTTTTCTACTCCCAAGAGCCAGTTGTGCTGCCCCACCATAGCAGTGTTACAAAGCTTTCTTCCCCACGTATTTCTGAGTCTGGATTTTTTATGTATTTGAATCTTCTCTTGGGTGTGGGTGCATTACAAGCCATCTGAAAACCACTGTTTTGCTGATGGCTTTTCCCAACTAAAATGGGTGATGCTGGGGATCTTAAGCTACATCTGGTGAATGTATGCTCTTATGGGCCACCTCAATGTGAATTTACCCAGTGTCCCACCACAGGTTCCCCACACTGGCAAAGCCAGCCTGGATTACTACAGGAATGACAGCGCAGGGCTGTCTGTCATTGGGAACCCTGCCAACGACACAGAGCTCATGTGTGACAGGAGGCAGGTCTGGCAGTTTGCTCGAGCTTTCTTGTCCGTGTTTTTCTGGCTCATCTTCTTTGTGGGCACGGTGGGAAATGCCTTGGTCGTTCTCATCTACTGCAAATACCGCTTCAGGAGGAGCATGATGGACCGCTACCTGCTGCACTTAGCTGTTGCAGATCTGCTCCTCCTTTTCACCCTCCCTTTCTGGGCCACGGCTGCCTCCAGTGGATGGATCTTCAGAAATTTCATGTGCAAAGTCGTCAATAGCATGTATAAGATCAACTTCTACAGCTGCATCTTGTTTCTAACATGCATCAGTTTTGACAGGTATATCACCATTGTTCAAGCAACAAAAGCTAAATCTTCCAAGCAAAGGCGGATCCTGCGCAGCAAACTCGTGTGCTTGGCTGTCTGGCTGGCATCTGTCAGCCTGTGCCTCCCTGAGATAATGTACAGCCAGAGCAAGCAGATCGGTGCTGTGACAGTGTGCAAAATGGCGTACCCGCCCAATGTTGGCATGGCCTTCAGAGTTGCTGTCCTGGCTCTGAAGGTCACTATAGGCTTCTTCCTCCCGCTTCTGGTCATGGTTATTTGCTACACCCTGATCATCCACACCCTCCTCCAAGCCAAAAGATGCCAAAAGCAGAAGTCATTGAAGATCATCACCATGATCATCACTGCCTTTCTTCTCTCTCAGTTCCCGTACAACATTGTTTTGCTGATCAAGACCATCAACATGTACACCGGGGCTGTGTACAGCTGCCAGACCATCAACAGGCTGGACATTGGGCTGCAGGTCACCCAGAGCATCGCCTTTCTCCACAGCTGCCTCAACCCCTTCCTTTATGTCTTTGCTGGGGAGCGTTTCAGGATGGCACTGGCCAGAATGGTGCGGAGCACTGGCCGCTACTGGTCTAGAGGCCAGGAGCAGTGCTCCTCCTTGGGTGACAGCCAGGAGCACAGCTCCAACTGGTCCTTTGCCATGCTGGGGCGGCGGCGGGTGAGGAACTCACTCACCCTCAGCACCCATTTGGCCTCCTCTGTTGTTCCTGCCTCATGCCAAGTCTTTGTGTAAGCCAGTGTCTCCTGAGGGTTATCAAGCATGTCCTTTTAGACATCACTCCTGCACCGCCTTGGAGGAGGACTGGCCTCCTTGGTTGTGTCCAGGACTGAGCTGGGACACTGAGGGCCCTACATGTGCTTCCTTCGTGCCCTGCCAAGCCAGACCAGGCCTCGCTCACATAGAGAAGTGAAACCTTCTGCACCGTGCAGCAAAATTGGAGCCAGGCATGTTGTGAGGCAAGCTGACAAGGAATAAGAGCTATCTCTGAGGCAGCTCTTAGAACCCATCCATTGCTCAAAACACAGCCCAAATAGCAAGTCTCTCAGAAAAGCCATGAACATCATGTAAGGATGAACCACACTTCCATCCATGGGAAGTGGTGAGAAGGAGCTGGGCCCTTGCTGCAGGACGGCTCCATGATAACTCAATTTTTGGCCATTGCCTGGTTTCAGAAAGTGAAGGCTACTCCCTGCACAAATGGACACAATGCTGCTTTGTGGGACAGTCAAAGGAAAGCTAATATTCTGTACTCACTACAGAATTAAATCCTTCTCCTGTATTTTAGCTCTTTGGTGTAGGGTGAGAGCAGGTGCAATGTATTTGCTGCAGTTTGTATTTCTCTGCATTGACAAGCCACAACTCGCAGTAAGGATTCAAGGCCACTGGATGCTCTGAGTTTTCTGTCCCCAAGCACTTAAATCCCCAACTGATGATTCAACAAGCCATCAATGATGGCACCTTTGCAAAGACAACAAAAGACGTTTAACCCAGAATTGATGAGACAGAGAGTCATAAGACCTCAAACCTATTGTTAGCACATTTTGGTTGAGATGCTCCTCTTGGGGCTGGTGGGGTACAAGATGCGTTTAGGTGGGAGCTGCAGCAAACCTACCAGTTTCTTGGGAACTGCAGATGGGCCAACACTGGCACCATAAGGGTACGGGAGGTCTGCGGCACCACAAGGCTCCCAGCAGTGCCAATTCCCACCCCAAGCACCCCAAGCTTATGCTGCTTGTTTCAGTGCCCAGGAGGCATTCTTGTAAATAACCTATTTTAATAATCTGCTTTGGCGTTAGGTGACTATCACTCATTAAAGCATCTGAATAAACACCAGTTTTCTGCAAGGCTTGGCACTGCTTTCCTAACTAACACAGTACATGTGGGTAGATGGGGTTCTACTTTGACATACATGTTTTGAGGGTTTTTTTATTGTTCTTCATTTTTGCCTTAGAGAAATAAGTGCTGAAAGAGACATGCATTTTTTTCCTGTATGTGTAAAGGCGGCGTTTGTGATTTGTGTGGAGCTCAAATTGAGCAAAAGCTGAAATTCCCTTCAATAAAGCACTGTCACGTACACATCCACCGCGGGGATGGACTGGTGGTGTCTTTGCCTACAAACCCACTCCATCTTTGCGTCCATACACCCAACCTGTTTCCTCCCGTGTCTGAGGAGAAGCAAATAGCTTCCCTATGTTTGCAATTCCCAGTAACTGACAGCAGACACACAACATAGTGAAGTACATGAGTGAAGTACTCACTTGCCCAAATGCGGGGCAATTACATAGGGAAATCCATGCTGCTGCCCAGGGACTGCCTCAGGAGAGCTGCTCTGCCCTGGGAGGTCTGCACACAGGGTGAGTGGTGAAGACAGCAGGTGTCCCTGAGTTGTCCCCCCCAGATGTGCCACACGGGAGTGACACACAAAACCACCTCAGCTTCAAATACACACAGCAGACCTAAAAACTCCCCTTCGGATCTTCCACGTGCAGGGAAAAGTGTGGAAATGAGGGCCTGGGAAATGACCCCTCTCCGCTCCAGCACTGCTCTATATAGCATCAATTAAAGCAAGAGGACTTACCCTGCTCCCAAAACGCTGTCCTCCTTAAAACCAGCTGTGCAAGCTTCAGCCATGGAATTCCTGGTGGCTGTGAGCAGCGGGCAGCAAAGAGGGATGGATGCCCGTGTTTCAGCACACAGGTGAGTGCTGTGTCCTCATTCAGCAGAAGCGCAGTGGGAAATTCTCATGCGGGGCCGGTGAGTGAAACTGCTGAGGCTGGTGACATGGTGCTGAACTTTCAGCAGGTCAGGGCACCGGGTCGTCCCCCGGTCACGTCCCGCTCTGAGTCAGGCAGCGCCTGCAGTGTGCGCTCCCAGCGGGGCTCAGCGCGGAGGTGCTGCTCCTCAGGGGCCTCCGTGCTGTCTGTGTGTCACATCACATTTTGGAGTGTGGCCCCATCCTCGCCTTTTCACCCCTCAGCACCTGTTAGGCGTTACAGTCCAGAGGCCTCAAGCCGAGGACGAGGCACTCCATCTACCAGAGAGCAGAGCAGCACAGCCAGGTGCTCCTGAGGCCCTGTGAGTCAGCCAGCTGGGTTTTGCCTCAGTCACCCACAAAAATAACTGTGTGCATAAAATGAGGTCTCAGTGAAATGACAGCAGGCTTCCAAGAGCCTCAAGCAGGCCAGGAGCCCACTGCCTCATTCCTAAATTCCTCAGACCATGCAAAGCCATGCCACAATGGGGACTGCTGCCAGTAGCTCTGAACTGCCATTAATTCCATGTCTCAAAGGCCCCAGAGGTGGCCACGACCGTCAGGCTGTCACGTAGCATCGCAGCAGCCTGTCTGCGGTGTGAGGAGAGGAAGCACATGAGAGTTGGGGAGGAAATGCCACTTCCTGCAGACAAACCTGTTCAACCGACAGCAGCTCCCACCTCAAACGCAGATGGGGGGTACAGGAATACGGCCTCTGCCTCTTCCAGGGAGCAGAGCAACTACGGGACAATGAGGATCGCCACGGCTGCTGTAAACATCGCTTGAAGTCACACTACGTAGTATGGTTGTATTCATCCTGAAACCTGAACTATTGATGTGAGTTTGGTACACGTAAAATCATCATTTCCAGGTACAACCTGGATCAACACTCTGTGACTTCACTGCTCAGACACCATAGATTCCATGCCCTTGAGAGCTGGTTTTGTTCTGAGCCTGGGCTATAGGAATGTTGAGACCTTGTATTTGGCCTGCACAGTGACAATTCAAGGACTAATGGAGAGTATATCATTGCCCCGTGCAGCCATACACTTTCACATGGTCCACACAGCAGTGCTGTACTGGGTGTGCTAAGGTCAGTAACTGGGATTGACAGTAGGACATAGGTGGGTTAAAATCCCATGTAAGACAGCATTAGGGCTCAGATTATCTTGCCTGCATATCCATGGAGGATGCATTGCTTAATAAGGCTGAGAATTGATTATTGGAGATTTACACAGAGACTTTCAACAGCTACAGCCTCCCTTTTAGAGCTGCACAGCAGCTCGGATGTATTTGGTCTTTGCAGTTCCCTTGTATTCCATGCTAAGCATGGCTGAGGCTTGATTCCAGAGGTGCCTCTGAGCTTCTTCTTGCAGCCCCCAGAAGAAATCTACAAGGACACAGCAACTGAAAAGAAGAAGTGATGACTGATGGTGGTGGGGCCCCCTGTCCCCATTCTGATGGCCCCAGCAGCTCAGGTTAGCCTACATGGGGCCGAGTCTACAAATGCAAACAGACGTTTCTCCAACCCCTCCAAGGCAAGAAGCAGAGACAATATGTAAAGAATGCCTCTCACTCACACAATCGTTCAGTATAAATGGACTCAATCTTATTTTCTAACCTTCTAACTTTTTCTTATTTCCCAACGTTTTTCCAGCCTAGAAGTAGATCTAATTTATCTTCATGACATCTTCATGAGATCTTCATGACAAAGCCATCTCTGCCTGGCACAAAGCAGACATACACGCTGGATGATAAAGAAGTTTATTTTTTTTTAATTCCTGAGGTTATAAAAGGAAAAAAAAAAGCATCAAGAAACAAACATTCCAGTACACGACTGTCTACACCTCTGTAACTGCACAGATGCTGGGATACACAAATCTCTTTTTTTCCCCCTTGTGGAACGTGAAGTTTGATGTGAATGGGTTTGCAATTCTTTGGCAGCTAAAACCAGAAAATGTTTCTGAACAACTTACAATATAAGTGTCTGAGTATAATTAAAACTATAGTGCAATTTTGATTTTTAAAAAGAGCAAATTCAGGCTTTTGAAGCGGTGCTACTTCTTACTGTGCAAATCTCAGTGATGTCTCATAAAGCAGCATTGAGTAATGCTGAATAAAGGAATTATGTCATTTTCTTAAAATAACTGTATTCTTTCCTCTGCATAAATCTCTGCCTAACAAAAAACAAATTACCCTTCCTTATTCTAGCACCCAGAAAAAAACACCCAATTAGATATGCTGACTTTTTATGCACTCTTTGTATATAAAGGTCACAGGCGTGACATCCCCTTAAATCAGTTTTGTGATTCATTTTAAGTATTTCTCTTAATTGTATTGCAGGGGATGGTCTTCTAACCAAAGGCCCAGTGCAACAACACACCTGAACCTCTGTAGGCAAACAGATTTATCAGCATTGAAGGCATACCTCACATGAACAGGTTCTTTACAAATGAGGGTATAAAGTGCTTGAGTGAAGTCTCTTGCACAAACCTATGCTGGTGGGCAGTCCTACACCGGGGCCCCGTGACTCCAGCAATAAATGATCTGGGACAGTCACACAACAGCTCTGTAACAAGAACACGTTCTTTGCTGTGTTCTCTGCACAGCCCCTGAGGTGGAAAAGACTCCCTCATCTAGGTGACACAATGGGCTCCCTTACTTGAACAGTTCCTTCCGACAGCTGAGCTCATGTCCACTTGTTGCATCTTTACCTGATGGAATATTTGCTTTTCTGAAATGACTTCTGTTTAAATGCTCTCCTCTGTGAGAAGCAAACAATAATTTGTTATCTTGAACCTACAGGATCTTGCTCCTCCTTCTCTTAGTCCTCGTTCGGAGAGCAAAAAAGCCAGGTTTTCCCGTCTCTCATGTGACAGGAAAACCTGAAGAAAAGCTAACAGAAAGACTCAAATGGTAAAAAGAAAATCATCCAGTGTTTTTATTACCCACTTTCCAAACACAGGTTTTGGCAAACCTC